GCCTTCGTGCTTATGGTGAATTATCGTTAACTATGTTTTCCTGCTCTGATGATGTCCGTCAACAAGGATTCATCATGGTAGTAGGGTGGTTTGCCGAGGATCTATTCAAAAAATCGACAACCACAGCTCCAAGGCAACCCCACAGCCTCCGGTAGAACCAACTTACGAATCCCTTCCACTCGCCTCTTTAAACGAAATTAAAGGTACTCCAACATGAATCTATTAAGGGATTTTTAAAAACCCAATTTTTCTAGATTAATCTTCCAGATGAACAGTTGTCTTTGTAATACTATTAATACAGTGTCGATTACAAATGATTTTCTTAATACAAGACAAGAGCACATCACGCACAAGCATGAAGATGAAAATCTCCCAACCACACTGCACTATATAATATAGCCAGGCTCGCTGGTATGTAGGACCGAGTATTTCTTGAGCAGAGCCTAATGTCGTATTCCAACTTCCAGCCACGGAATCTTATATGAATAACAAAAAAGTAATTCAATGGCATCTGATTGTCTGCATATATTTTTAATGAATGTAAACGATTTTGCCTTACCCCGACTATCCGATTGCGCAAAACTATAATTTTTTTAGATAAGAGACAATCAAAGGATAAGACGTGATAAATCTTTCAGATAATTTATCTGGACTTAAAAGACAATGCCTTTACAAACAGCAACAATTAGTCCAGAGCCATTGTTACATCATTGTCTTCGTCAGTTGCATCCAACTCGCGTTCCTCAGCAAATTCTCCGTCTCCTGACACTTCTCCAGCCCCCTGATCGTTCAAGCCATGACCAGTGTTGCCACTAGTGCTTTGTAAGGCTATAGCTGGTTTATGATAATGAATGTCTAGGTCGAACTGTTTGGCTACGGCGTCCAAAGATAAAGGAAGTTCTGTTAAGCCCTCTTGAGAGAAGCCAGTCGACTTCAAATGGACGAAGCTCAGCGAACCACGTATGGCAGGAGGCAGAATGTTAGTTAATGAGCAAGCAGGAATATCTGAAACAATAGATTGAGGAAGAATGTGGTTTGAAATAATCCATAAATTAAAAAAATATAGGATAACATAACTTTTCAGATCCCATGAATTGTCTTTGTAATTGTAAATAATAGTGAGTTAAAAGCGTTTTTGTTACTGGCTAGCTAAATATCAATAAATTATGTCCAAATATTTTTCCAACATCGAAATTTCATAATTCATTGTTCGAAAATAGAAAAAAGGAATGATATCGATAATAGGCAGTCCTCGTCACTACTCGATACAATACATGGTCAGCGGATTTGCTATCCTTCCTAGCCTGTACTTACACGCTTTGAGTCGAGCCAGCATTTTCAAAGGCTGAGAGCTTATCACAGGATAGATTGGCTCCCCAAGGGTCCCCAAGTCTTTGCTGCAGCAGCCCCAATTCCTTAGGTCTCTCAGGTATTATGTACTGCGACTTCACACCCCAAAAAACAAACACATTCTGCTTTCAGATGATGCTACAATTGAAGGAGTCAAAATTCATGTAACATTTTTTAATTACCTGACGTCAGGATAGTGCAGCGCGTGTGGCATCTAATTGAGCATATCTATCATTCGAACCCCATTGGCCATGCTAATCAATGGGCGAGGTAGGAACTAAGGTCCATAATAGGTGGAAAACAGCATAAATAAATTAAATGACAAAGCCAGTACTGTGAGATGTATATGTGTAAAGCACCTTTCCCAGGAGCATGTGGATCCAGTCGGTCAAGCGTCCTGGAATCAGGCACGGTTGCAGTAGCGTTGTGCCGTAAGCTTGCGACACCCTTAGGGTGAACATGGATTGAGAGAGCCTGTTCCTCAAAACTGTGTGGTGCCCACTTCTCGTCAGCATCGGAGGTTCCTAATCTGGCTTCAG